AGACGAACCATGTTCTCAACCAAATTGAGTTGGGTGTGATGGAGGCCGGTTCCGTCTCCTATCACCAAATTTAACCAGGTCGATGGTTCAATTTCATTGGACTCTGGGCCCTGCACCCCAAACGAACGCCCAAACATCTACGCACAGCATATCCCCGACGCTCCATGTATGGAATATATGCCTACTGGGGTGGTTTGGGGGGTCTGTGGCGGCAGTCCGGACTGGCAGTCCCATGGATCGTCGCGTCTGGGATATCGAATTGGGCTGCCCACAGCTGCTTCATCACAAGTTGAGTCGTCGAGTCGTCGAGTTGATTGATGTTGCTATCATTAAGCTGTAGATCACCCGAAACCCATGGACAGCTTAATGATAGCAACATCAATTTACTTAATGGGTGACTCTTATTGCCATCTACTCTTTAAGTTCTGAGTCACTCGAAACCCATGGATCCACCTCCGCCTGGCAGTTTTCCAAGCTTCGTCACAGTTCCTTCAGCGAAAAAGAAACGATCTGGGCTTCCTGACTGACTTTGTGATCATTCTATTAATAGTGGTGGGGAAGGAAGCCCAAACTTCCGCTGCGATGCAATTGTCCAACACCACTGAGGTTTGCACCATCGCTGTCGAACAAATGTCAGGCATGTAGATCTGTGAGCTGAGCTGCTACCGTTCGAATTAAAGCCCAAATTATACCAAATGCGGCAGCCCTCTGAACGACCCAACCATCTCTCAACAAATCAGTTCGTGATCATCAGCGCTCAGGCGGCGCCATCATGGCGTCCTCTCCAGCTTCAGGGAGAAAGCAAATATCATCCCTCCCAAAACGATGATGGAACGTAAATGCACCCACCAAACACACACACATGATATCATAATTACATCATAATTACATATATAAATAATTACACTCTAACATGGAAGTGGAAACCACCTCTTCACTCTAAAGAAAAAACGTCTTCCCAGGGGTAAGAGTCCGCTTCCATATTAGTGAGTCAAACGGCAAGCATTCATTTATGCATGTCACCCTCTGATCTCTTCGATTTGCCCACTCAAACTGAGTCACTCCCCTTCTGGATCCCTGGCTCCCTTGGAGGGCCATCATTTCACCGCGTGGCAGGGCCAGCTGTAGGATCTCCTTCTTCGAGAAGTCGCAACCCCCAAGGTTCAGCGTCAAACTCTTCCGCCAATAATCGCCTATAAGGTCAAAACTTCTTCGTCCCGCGAAGCTTTGCAATGGCCGTTCGGAATGGAAATCTTGTTGGGCTACAATTAAGGAACAAGAAGCTACTAGTAGCAAAGGGCATCGCTACTAGGAACCCGGGCATCGCTACTAGGAGCAAGGACGCTACTAGGATTACGCTCCCTGTACACAAAATGGCAGCGAGCCTCAGTTTGTCAACATGCTGCGGGAAGTCACGTAGAAACAGCTCGGTGGGGAGGAAGCGGAATCAAACGAAATGTAGCGGTGTTGTAACGAAATGTTGGTGAATGCAAAAGAATCTGCCAGTGTCCAGCCCAAAGGCTTGAGCATCCCCGACAAACCATCAAGGAAACTCAAGCCTTGATGCAAAGCTCGATCCCTATCAATTCTCCACATCATCTCTCAGTATTGAAGCTTTATTCGCCAAGTGGTTCTAGGTGAAGAACACTGACCGAACACACATCAAAACGCTAGAGCAGTGGTAGTCCCCTCCCCCGAATACAAACAACTTGACCTGGCCAATGGAGACACTCAAGAGATTCGATCGAGTGAGTGGCATGCTGAGATCCATAGCAACAAAACAATCACAAATGAAGAAAGCCAGGACGCAGCGAGGACAGCTCTGGAGTTCAGGTGACATGTAGTGGACTAATTCCGACTGTACAAAGTGAGGGAACAACGCATGCAAAGTGTCAGCACAGTGCACAGTGCGGCACAGCCCGCCTTGGATGGCTTTGGCCATGTCACTCAGCAATTGCCTGAGACCGATTTCTGCACCAAACAACCCGCTTCCCAAGCCGCTTCCCTGGCAGCCCTCGTGGAGCCCTCGTGGAGCCAAAGCTCTTCACTTGCTAGAGCAGCGGCAACCTCATGACCTACAAGTCTAGTTTCTGGACTGGGCAAGGAAAAGCCAAACTAAGGGCTCACCTTGATCAACACCTTCAACTTGATCGTTCCTCCCAAAGACCCAAGACTTAAAACTTCGAGTGGCCACTAGGAATCGTTTGGGTGCATGATCATGCATGGTTCAATGATACAGTTGCTGCAAAGATGAAGTAATGTTAATTGGGAATTCCAGATTGTGCTACTCAGCAAGCTACTGAATGATATGTTCCTGTCGCCTGCCCCTTGTCACAACACTACAGCAGCTAAGCCATGTCCCCCTGGGCCCCCAAGGATAGCACCCACCAAGCGTACACCCGGGATCCGAGAAACCACATGGAACCGGGCGAACGGCATGGACCAGTGTCCTGGAAGACGATGTTGTTTGAATACCAACCCGACGTGGATTTCAGAAGTTAATCTTCCACCAAACTTATCGAATTCGATTTCTCGACCTGTTCTTCGACCAGTTGCTTCTTTTCGGATGAGGCATTGCACAGCATAAAGGGCCAAAAGACCAGAAGGAGCATGCTCCGCAAGCGCCTTCGCGGCCAGAAGGGGAGCGCTAAACAGTCGAGAGTGCGCAGTTAAAAACATGGTTTGGTGCGCTAGGGCCTAGGGTTGTTGACCTTCCCCACACAAGGAAAAGCAACATCACTGATCTAGTAAGACCTAGTTACCATGGCAGGTGTCTCCCAACTCCCCGAAACATGCCTGTTCACTCGAATTCTGAACAAATGGTCAAGCAAGGCAACCCAAATTGACCATAGACAGGGATGTGTAACGCTGTTCTGCCGGAAGCCTTTTGAATCACAAATGATCATGAAATATCATGAAACCGTTCCACTTAGCAACGTGCATCCATTTTTTGGTGTAACCTTGTATATGTACGAGCTGCATTCGAGAAAAAACACTGCAAGGTTGTTGATGTTTCTCAATTGTTTGTGGTCATGACGCAGCCCCCCGGCTCATTTCACATCAAGCTAATAGTCAGCTGACTGGCCCTTCGGCGCCCTTCGGAGCTTGCGCAAGGTTCAACATGATCAAACCAAACCTGTGGTCCACACCTGGTCATTCGTTGGTATGTCTCCACTTCCTCTTCCTCACCCTCTGGCACCGCCAAAGACCGCAAAAGCTTCTCGCGATCTTCCTGCATGGCAAACTGCCCCACCACGAAGGTCCCGTGGCGGGTCCAGTGGCTGGACGGGAAGGGGGGGAGAAAAAACATAGAAAACAAAACACACCACCCCATGTATGTATACCATATATTGTATGCCTACATTGAGCCAGAAAGCACTCCAATGTAGGCAAATATGGCATACATGAAGTGTCTGGGAAATATAGCTTACAGAAAACCCGGCCACACACAAACAAACGTTTCAAACTATATATACTCAAGTTGAGTTTGCAAAAAACAAACGAAGTGGAGTGAAATATAGCTTACAGAAAACAAAACCATACGCACACACTTAGACAAGGTTTTATCCAGTGCCATAATCCACAGTGACAGGGATGAGGGAAACGCACGGCGGCTGAGTCAGCAACATCACTTGAAGTGCTTGAAAAACTGTTCGAAATCTCGCGCGAATCAGCAGCTGCAGAACGGCGCCGCGGAGCGAAAATGGGTTTTGGGGAATAGCATGAGAACCACCATGGCATCAAAGCACAGCGGTGAAAATTGGAGTGTTGGCACAACGGCAGGTAAGTGAGTCAAGCGTCCTTGACTCATATCACAGGAAATCCACGGTGTCTTCGTTGGATGCCGACCATGGAAGTCCCCGACGTCCCCCTGCTTTTTGGAAACATATAACCTCCTGGAAGCGGACGGGACACACACACACACACACGCACATACGTTTCAGGATGATGCATGATGATCAATATGTTGAGTTCAGTTGACCGGGAGAAGAAGACAGAAACAACAACCTGACGATACCTGATGCACCAACAAAAAGCACCACAAGGCCACGCACACCCAGAATGCCACGGCGGAGGACCGAGGATGGTGTGTGACTCTGCACTCCGTTCCAAATCCGTGGATGACATGACCCCGAAACGTAGACGACGACTTTCCTTTACGAATAGGGGTCCCAGGCACCATGACCCATCCACTTCTGTGATAGCTATCATGGCGCCGACTGTTCCACATCACATAAGTGGTTGGGTCCCAGGTGCCCAAATAAAGAAGCGACCTCATGACTCCGCGTCTTCCGAAAGACCAAACCACAATGATGAAACCCAAATCGTACTCGTAGTGTATACCCTCCTATACCCTTGCTTGAAACATTCAACACACATATTCAAAACCATATTCAATATTCCATGGCCTGACGGTCAGACCTGGAATCATTTCTCTTAGCGTACCCGCCATCTAAATACAGTATCCCCTGTAAATAAAGAGGTTCTGCAGCTCCAATGGGTTATAACCAAGAGTCTACCAGGACCCTCTAAGGGGCTTCTATTGATAGCCCCTTAGAGGTGATTCCGGGTGTCCATTAACCATTCACCACAACAAGTATTTGTGAGTCCTGGTACAATCCACGAGCGCGTCTCGTTTTCGCGCCCTTTGCCTCAACCTGGGATTCGGTCGAACTCGCCTCCTTGCTCGCCTCCGTCTTCTCCAGGGCGAAGCGCAAGGGCGCCTCGCGGCGAGGTGGAGAGACCGACCGACACCAGACGCGCAAGGGAGAAACCGAAGAGATCGAAGAGAAGCTTGCGCGGTCCCCATTCCAAACATGGGAAAAAAACATCCTTTTTATCATCAGTTTGGGGACTCAAACGAGTAAGTGCAGCCAGTTGAAGAATCACAATTAAGAAGTGCCACCAACATTCGCCAACATGTCGGCATGTTCCATCCAAATCATCCCTGCATCATCTCCCGCAAACGCGGGAGACTCCTGCGGTCCGTCCCATTTTGTCTTCCTTCTTCCACCACGTCATCCAAGGCGGGATGATCTTGGTGGCTGCTTCGCAGCTCCGGGAAAGCACCGTCAACCTCCGGTGCTCCGGACCCGCAGTCGGTGGGAAGCACAAAGACCCTGGTCGTCCCCCGGTGACGGAGACAGGGTCCGCATGGAGGGAAGCAGGGTCAGCGGCTTCAAGTCATCGGGTATTTCCTGGGCGAAGGAGGTGACAAGAATATGCCCTACAGGTCGACCTCATGTTACTGGAGTTGGTCAAACAAAAGCATCCGTCCGGGTCGGGAAACAGAACGTGTAGTGGTGTGCATTTGCAAACATGAGAAAGTCTCAAACCACAAACACCTTGTAAAACCCCACATCTTTTCTGTATTTTTTGTCATCTATGCGTGGAGACTGACTGGGTGCCCTACAAAACCTGTGTTTGCATTGAAACCTATGTATTTGTTCTAACTACAGGGCTTCGCTTCGTGAGTGTTATAGTGTTATTTGATTCGGAGAAAAAACATAAATAAAACCACCCATAGGAAATGCAACGCAAAACTCGCGCAAGTGCCGATGCCCAAGGGCTTGGCAGACCGATTCCCACGCCCGGTCCGCCGGCTCGCTGGTCCGGGTCCGCGGTTCGCCGTCCCGGCCAAGCGGCTCGAAGCCTTCGTTCTCGGCTGCTGCCACCATGGCGGTGGAGGCCACGCTGTCGCCCGAGCTGCTGAGGCTCGAAGCGCTGGAGGAGCCGCGCAGCGCCGAGGTCGCGCGGCACGTCTCCAGGGGGGGGAAGCGCCGCCAAGGCGCTGGCCTCGGTGGGGACCCGGCTGTTGAAGGCCGTTTTTGGTTTTGATCGGTATTTATATGCACCTCTTTGCCAACCCTTGCGAAAACATCCACCCCCGAACAAACATGTGACGGGGATCTCCTCATGTTCAAAAAGTCACTGAAATCCCAGGTCTTTTTGGGACGTTGTGCGTATCGTCTCGCCAAAGCTGAGCCAAGGCACCAACTCGTGGCTCGAGCCAAGCTGTGCGCTCCCCACTCCCCGCAGCCAGGCCTCCCACGCTCCCCCCGAGGGCATGCGCAGCGCCACCAGGCACGCGGCGCCGCGCGTGGTGTGGATGGGCCGGTGCCGCAAGGCAGGCAAAGCGCAGGCGGAGGCTTGGAGATAGTGGCAGTGAGTGACCAAGAGACATCCTGCAGATGCACCTCTCTTCAAAAACATTCCAACACTTAAAGGTGTACTTTAAGGAGACATAAACCACATCATGACTGTACGGAAACGAACGGCTCTGAGCCCTATTATCCTACTGCAACACAATACCCTTTCGTGTACTGTACAGTGGTTGCTGCAGGAGTGTCACACGGAGTCGGCACGACTGTCGACCTCTTGGGGGATCAGGAAGAACGACATACCGCAGTCGGATGGTGTCGGTCGAGGGCTTTCGCATGATCCATTCCGAAGTTCTTGACCATTCGCATGGGCGAACCCTAGGTCGAGGATTCCGCTTCATGGGTGAGGGATGGCCTCGAAGATTCGCTCGAGCAGAAAAAAACCCTAGCCGTGATGATTCTGTCTGTGGTCAAACCAACTTATGCACCTGGTGCCATTGACATATACGGTTCAACTATGGTTCAACCTTGCCACTGCAGCTGAGTGACCCTGCACACCTCCCTCGAGCGAATTCAACTGCTCAAGCTGGTGCAGGAATGCTGCTGCAAAGCGTCTTCGTGCCTGGAAAACATGCGGTTCAAGACCAACATGCTCACGACTAGACCATCTCTTGGTGCCTTCCTGTAGCTGTTGTGTTTTAAACATGCCCACGTGGAGAGGTTCTACCATCTGAATGGGCTGGATTATGATGGATCCCAATGATGAATTCCAATCAACTGTCAACATTCTGAGGGACTCTTGTGGAGTGGACTATCCAAACACCTGCCACCCATGGCTGCGGCCACTAGCAGATGGAGCTCCTGAGTGCACAAGATCCACAACGTCATCGTTTCAGGTGTGATCTCGCCATTCTGCTCCCCAGCGGAAGTGATGCCGAAGAAGCGGAAGTTCCATGGAGCAACAAGGACATGTTGCATATTATGACTTAATTAAGGGTCTGCAAACATCGGTTAAAGAGTTGAGCCTTGGAACTTTTACGGCTCCCAATCTAACAGGGCCTCCTCCGGAAGTCGTGCTGGGGATGACACATGACACATGAACCACCCAGTCACAACCACCACAATTCCAAAGACCCAGTATAACCTGGTCTTTGACCTCCTTGAGTAGTGTTTTTGTGTGACCAGTTCCAATGAGGTCACAAATGTCATAGACCTGCAGGGAAACACCACAAACACTCGCATTTCACAGCCCGCCTCCGCTGAAACTCCACCAGCATCATCCAGCTCTCCGGGTAAAAGCTCCAGCTCCTCATCCGCTACCACCGACATCGACGCAGCACCGTTGCTCCCTTGACTCCCGAAGTGCTCAGCGAGGACTTGGGCTGTCTCCCAGCAGGCGGTGGAAGGAGAGGAGACGATCCGGTCGAAGCTCAGGTCCTCACAGGGTTGGAACACAGGAACGTTGAGGGTTTCGATACTTGAGGCGATGGTGGTGGACGTAGAGGGTGCACCTTCTTGAGGATTTCTTGGGAAGAAGAAATCAGTAGGAATGCTGTGTGTCTAGATGACAATTATGCCCAGGGCGGTTTGCGTCAATTGACCAAAATGTGCAACACTCCAAAGGGCACCCTCGGTTTCTGTACGAGATAGCATTAGCCCTAGCATAAGCCATAAGCCATACATCACACATTGAACTCAAAAGGCAGTTCAATTTTGTTTCATCTGCTTCTGCAAACATTTGCATCTCAACCCCCTGCTGGGCGCTTTCTCCTCCCTCTCCAGCGCTTCCGCCAGTTCAGCCACCTGCCGTTGCCCCATGGCCGACAGTGGCCCACCCGGTGAGTCCCACTCGCCATGGGCAGCGATGCAAAGGCACGGACGACGTGGAAGTGGTGCCAACTCCACCTGAACGCAGAACGGTGCAGAACGGGGCCTGCGTACTCCGCGCTTCAATCGTCGGGTTTGCGGACGGAGAAGAGGCCATATGAGAAGAGGCCCCCGGAAATGGAATGATGGGGATGAGGCCTCCACCGCGCTGGTTTTAGACATGGAATCATAGGATCCGGAGAAAAGAACAACACAAATACAATACTGTTTGATCTTGATTAGTGAAGGGCGGCCTCCCCCCCAACGACCCCCCCCACCTAAACCAATGGGAGGGCCTCTATAATTAATAAATTACCACCAAAACAAATCTGGGTTCCTGGGAGGATTCCTTTAATTGATTGTAGTATTATTCATGTTCCTTTCTGAGGTTCTTTGCAATTAGATATTCTCAGCAATCCTTTTCCTTTGCAGTCTCAGATCTTCAGCAGATCTTGAGGACTACTACCTTGAAAATTTGTTTAGATCCCTGTTGAAATTTCAAGGAGAACTTGGGCCGCTAGATTTCCTAGTAGAATTCTAGGTGAGGTCGATTCAAGGCAAGTCGTGCTTGCTAGAAAATGGTACGTTGTGAAAAAAGCCCTAAAATTCAAGGTGGGGTGGAAAAATGACATCTTCCAAAATAGCCTCTAGAAAATGCTCTATCCAGGTTCAACTTCCCAAGTCTCAGCGAGTAACAAAAATCCAAATCTCATCTTCTAGGGGAACATTGACAGCTGCATGACGAACATGGACAAACATTCCAGAAGATCCCAGAAGTCATTTTCTAGGACCCTGCTTCGGCATCCAATCGACTCACCAGCACCTATCATCATCTCACTCAAAATGACTCCCTAGAAAATGCCCCTTGTAACAACATGATGTTCTAAATGTTCGTTTCTAGAAAATGCAAGGGAATCAATTCAGTGAATTCAGTGTACAAAAGTTGTTCTCTAGAAAAACAACATTTTCTAGGGGACCTAGATCCCTGCATTTCCTAGTGGAAATTTCAACGAGGATTTTAGGAGCAATCTTTACAAAAAGGTTTGATGGGAAGCTGTGAGTTTTGAAGAACCAAAGAAGCCTATGATTACCAATAATATAATAATACTCTCAGCAAGCCAGCGATTGGCTTAGTAGTATTCACAGATCTCCGCAGGAATTGACACTCTCATTCTTCAGATTATAAAAGATTAGGTTCCCCAAAAATTTGGCATAATTATAATATAGAGAACCCTTAAAACAAACATGGTGTCAAGAATTATGTTTGAACAATTTTGCATTGCAAAGGGCCCTATTACTAATTAGCATCCAACATTATTAGGTCCATGTAACAGTACTGGTCAGACTTCAGCAAACCAAAGTCCTTCATCGGGATGTTGACCCTTTATCTACATGCTTATGGTCAATGCCAATATGCATATCAACCTTCATGGAGCAAGCAAATCGGTCATCCCTTTGCCGGGGTCTGCGAGGGTCTCAAACCTCCTCGCTCTGCCGCCTCCATCCCCAAGGCCCGCAGGGCGGACTGGGCGTTGCTGGCGCTGCGCTCCATGCCGGCCCGGATCGCGCGCCAGCGGGCGTGGAAGGTGATGGTGTGACCTAGGAACACATCTGGAGCTTGGAGCGCGAAGCAAGGCGTCGTTTCTCCAACAAAACACCTGGAGCTTCGGTTCGGTACATCGCCCAAAATCGCCGTGCTCACAAAAAAACCTGGATGCCCAAGCAAAAATTATGCGTTTTTGCAGAGATCCCAGGGGCAAAAGACCAAGATCCAAGCCAAGCCCAACACTACTGGGACCAGGGTGGATGGATCTTGGTAGTCCATCCACATCTTCTGGAACAGCCAGGAGGGCCAAGTGAAGCAAATCAAGATGCTGGTGAGTCCCATTGCGCTGATGCACACCTTGGAGAGAGAGGATCCATGCATATCCATGCAGTGCATATGAACATGTCTGGGGGCCTGGGTCAACGTCAACTCACCTGAGTAGCTCTCTCTCTCTCTCTCGAAAAAAAAAACAACAAAAACAAGTCAAAGGCTGGCGGCTGCCGTATCATTACACGAACACTTGGCACACCATTCCGCACAATCAGCTTCTTATTTAGGACTTGGGTCACAAGACTTCAGCTCATTATTAGCTCTTCTTTCGACTCTTAGAAGCCCTGAAGGCGCACGCCTCAGGAGCTTCATGCGTCCATGCTGACATTGATCCATATGACAGCATAACGCTCGCTTCCGAGAAGCCAATGGGTAGCATCCTGCTTGGAGTGTGATCTGAGTTGCCTGGACCGGACTCCACGATTAGCCACAAACCAGCCGTGTACATCGGGCTTCAGGACTTGGGGAGTGCGACTTGGGGAGGGCGCAGAAATCACCGAACAAGGAGGCGAGAATCGCAAACACTTCCGATATGGGATGTAGAGGGTGCCATGTAATGCAAATGCTTCAGTACCTCATACCCAGAAGAAGGGTCATGTGATATACAACATTTAAATCATATAATGTCCCTCTCTCTCTATCATCTCCAGCTACTATTACTATAATATGTAATATGTATGTTAAATCCGTGTATGTTTATGTATGATGTGCATTCATATGCAAAAACGTTCAGTATATATGGTAGAACGAACGAGAAGGTTGAAGCTGGAGGTTTTGGTCCTCCAATGTTTCCACATGTTTTGGGATTCGTTGTTCGGCCCGTTTTGGTCACCAGGCCCAATCGCTCTTGTTGGGATGTTCTTCAGCTCTCAATTGGTGCGTTCCGAGGTGCTAAAAGGACCTCTACGAGGCACAGGGCTCGGTCGTCGATGAAGTCAATGTGATTTGGATCCGAAAGCCTCAGACGACACACCACGGTGCTCGCCTGGCCTCCACATGAAGCACCGCATCGCACCGAAACCACCCGGCGCCAAAACCTTGTGCAGGTTTCCGAACCGCACTGCTAGGTGCCGCCGGGGGTGATGCGGGTGTACTTTCATCCAAAGTTCTTAGATTAACCCTAGGCTTCCAACCTCCATTCATTTAATAGGCT